TTCTCTTAATATAAAAGAGAAGCTAATCCCTTATACAGTTATTCAGTCGAATATACCAGACTTGCATATTTTACAAAGTTTTCTTTTACTCTTTCTTTCTTCATCCTTTGAAACTTTCATGGTATTAGAGCCAAAGACACACGTCTATGGCTGAGATTCCTAGAAAATTCCAATCCTCTAGTAACATGGAGAAATTGATTAGCAATTCCACTAGTTTTCACTCTTTTGCCTTTTCATCAAGTCTCCAAGTGATTAGTCCGAAATTGACAAGGGACAATTACAGAGACAATTATCAATTTTGGCAATCTCAAGTGTTATCTGCTGTAGGAGCTCACGAACTTGAGGAACACTTGACCGGTCTTGATCCTTGTCCCAAACCTCTGATTGTCTCTAATGGAGAGTCCTCATCTAATTTGAGTGTGAATAGTTCGAAGGAAACCCTAGCCAAAGAGAAGATCAATCCAGCTTACATTGCTTGGAAGAAAACAGATAAATTCCTTGTTACATGGCTTTTAGCTTCAATTTCAGAGTGTATATTCAGTAATGTTTCTAAATGTAAATCTGCTACTGAGATTTGGTTTGTATTAGAACATGAATTCTTAACTGAATCTAAAGCTAGAGCTCTGCATTTAAAGAACTTGATTCAAAATGCACAAAAAGGAAATCTTAGTGTTAGTGATTACATTAAGAAAATGAGAAGTGTTGTTGAGAGCCTATCGGCCAGTGGTCACATAATCACAGATGATAAGTTGCTTTAACATGTATTAGATGGTTTAGGTCCAGAGTTTGATGCTGCCGTTGTTAATCTGACTTCCAGAATTGAGTCAAAATTTGACGCAGTCACTCTACAGGAAGCTCAGTACGTATTACATAAGTATGAGATGAGATTAGAGAAGTTCAACTCCCTTGATTTTCCACTAAGTTCAGCACATGTTACCTCACTAAACACCTCCACTAATAAACCTTTATTTGTCACCACAAGGACAGTATCATCTAGCTTCCCTATCTAACCATCTCACACAAATCAGTTGCCAACACCTTTACCACAAACCTCACCACTTCCCTATTATACTCCTCACTACAGTTTACCTGAACAGGTAAACTTATTTGGTCAGTATGGTCCTTTTTCTACTTATCGACCACCTGGCTTTAACACAATGAACAGAGGCAGAGGTCGAGCAAACAATAGAGGCAAACCAGTCTGTCAAGTTTGCAGCAAAATAGGTCATACTGCAGTGCAGTGCTACCACCGTTACAACTCAACTTATAATGGAGTTCCACCTCACCAACTTAGTTCACCTAATCACCAATTTGGTTCTAATCCTGGTTTTCCCCAGTACAACAACAAACTTTCCAATAACTTTTAACCATCTCATCCAACAACTAACCCCTATGGACTGAATTCACAACATTTTTCTCAACACACCCATCCTTCTTCACAGTTTAATCAATCTTTACACCCCAACCTATAAAACTCACCACTTTTTCCCCAATAACAGCCATCACTCACTATTCCCAACCAACAGTTTAACTCACCAAACCAAGCCTATTACATTGCACATTCGTCTTCCTTTCCTTAGTCCTTTACTCTCACACCTATGACCATTAACTCAACAACTCTACCTGATCCAACCTGGTACATGGATTCAGGTGCTACTGACATGTTACCTCAGATCTTAACCAGCTAGCTATCAATAGGAGCTATGATGGGAGTGATCAATAGCAAGTAGGCAGTGGTGAGTCCTTAAATATATCTCATGTTGGTTTTTCTCTTTTACCTAGTTCTCTTCAATCTAAATGCACTTTCTTAAAAAATGTTTTGTGTGTGCCTAGGATAATTAAAAATCTTCTTAGTATTTCTAAACATACTCAAGATAATAGTGTTGTTGTTGAATTTGACTCTAATTGTTGCACTGTTAAAGACAAGGCTGCCAGGGCAGTGCTTCTACAGGGAGGACTTAAAGCAGGCCTATATCAGTTGCATGTTCCTGCTAGTCAACCATTTAGTCCTGAGTTTGCTCATTTTTAGCTTAAGTCCTCTGTTTCCTTAGCTCCCAAATCATTTGTTACTTCCTTAGGTGATAAGTCTGTCAACTTAGAGGCTTGTAAGAACAATAAAATTGAGTTGCAAGTTACTACTGTTGGTAATAAGTCTGTCAACTTAGGTGTTGTTGATTGTTAGTCTAATGTATCTGAACAGAATCCATGTAATTCGTCACTATTAAAGTCTGTCAACTCTAATGCCATGGTTGTTGATTCGGGTATGTGTAAGAAGAATTTCTTTGATATGAATAAAAGAAGTGCATCTGCTAATTCTAATGCTGAAAATTGTCATTTGCATTCTCTTGATAGCCATCATTTGCATTCTGCTCATTCAATCATAAAGTCATCTAATTTTGGTTCAGTTTTCCAAAGTTCACAACCCACTGAGTTTTTCAGTTCTGATTATTTAATCACACCAGCAATTAGTTTTGATACTGCTACATCTTACACACAACCCACTTCTTCATCTGAAAGTTTACCTTTAAGTACACAACCCACTACTAATAACTCTTACTCGACTATTCTACATACACAAACTACTGCTCTACCAACAATGGAGCAATTAAACTCACACTCAACAAATTCAGATCATATCCATGGCATAACATCTCACACACCTTCAACTTTTCAAGTCACCAATACTAAGGATAATCCTTTAATACTTTGGCACAATAGACTTGGTCATCCTCATGTAGAAATCTTACACAAAATTCTGGTTAAGATACTTAAAACCTCAAACAAAGCTAATATCAACTCTTCATTAGGTTTTTGTGATGCTTGCAAAATGAACAAGATACACAAAAATTATTTTCCTATTTCACATAATAGAGCAACTCAACCACTTGAAATTGTTCGTAGTGATATTTGGGGTCCAACCCCTGTCGCTTCCTTAGAAGCTTTTAAATACTACATGCACTTCATTGATGATTACAGTAGATACACATGGATGTTTCCTTTAAGAACTAAGGCTGAAGTTAATCTGTTTTTATTAAGTTTTATCATTTGGTTGAAAGACAATTCAATTATAAGTTGAAATGTTTGCAATCTGATCAGGGAGCTGAATACAAGGGTTTAATCCCTTACCTAACTAATGCTGGCATACTTTTTAGGCACTCTTGTGCTTATGTTCACCAACAAAATGGTAGGAGTGAAAGAAAACACAGACATATTGCTGAAACTGGCCTTACACTTCTTGCACATGCATTCATGCCTTTACATTTTTGGTGGTTAGCTTTTGATTCTACTGTATTTCTCATAAATAGACTGCTTACATTAGTTCTGAATTTTATCTCTCCATATCAAATTTTTTTTTCCGTGAGCCTCTTTACTCAACTCTGAAAGTCTTTGGATGTGCTTGCTTTCGGTTTCTGTTCTAATGTGTCCAAGTCTTCTACATAAATTTCTAAAAATTCTTCAGTATCTTCCATCTCTTCAGGTCTTAAGTCTTTAGTCTCCAGTTTTCCTTTTGTTTCAATTCCATCAGTAACTGATAACAAGCCACAAGTTGCTCCTGCAGAGGACTGCCTTCCACCAAATCCTTCTTTAGTAGTTAATAAGTCATCTTCTTCTCCTTTGTTTCATCCTTCAACTACTTTATCTCCTTGTTTCAATTCATCCTTACACCATCCTAATCATATACACTCCTTAATATCACCTATTTGCTCTAGTGACAGTCCCACTCGTGCACATAATCCTATTCTGAATATAAATCCTAATCCTAATCCTAGCACCTCATTATGCATGCCCACTACATCTTCTTCAACTCTATCAAACTGTCCCTTAGTCATTGATCTCACCTCTTTTTCTCCCTTGGCACACAAAGGTCAAACACAAATGAGTTCATCTAGTTGCCCACTTGTTATTGACTTGCACTCATCATAGTTCCCTACTGAAAAACACCTACTGAATATCTCTTCCACCAATACACATCCCAGGCAAACTAGAGCCAAGACAGCCTCCCAACAAGCCCTTAGTACCTCACATTCTCCTCACTTTATTAATCCTGAACCTACAACCTCTCAAAACACTTATGCTCACCTCATTAATGCTGAACCTATAGCCTCCCAAAACACTAATGCGCTTCAGCTACCATTTCAATATACCACTAATCTTATCATTTCAAAACCTGCTCCTCCACCACTTGCTCATTCAGAACCTTCCACAGTAACAGAAGCATTAGCTCACCCTGACTAGAATAAGGCAATGCAGGAAGAGTTTAATGCTTTAATGTCAATTACACTTAGGTATTAGTTCCTAAAACATTAGATATGAATATTGTTGGCAACAAATGGGTCTTTAGAACCAAGTTTCATGCTGATGGGAGTTTACAAAAATATAAGGCTAGGTTAGTAGCCAAAGGATTCCAACAAACTCCAGGATTGGATTACTTTGAAACCTTCAGCCCTGTTATCAAACCCTCAACTATCTGCATTATTTTTTCTCTTGTTGTCTCCAAAGAATGGGATATACAGCAAATTGATATCAATAATGCCTTCCTCAATCGCACTCTAAGTGAAACAGTCTTTATGAAACAACCTGAAGGTTTTGAGAGTTTTCAGTATCCATTTCATGTGTGCAAGCTTAGAAAGGCTCTTTATGGTCTTAAACAAGCCCCAAAGGCCTGGTTTAACAAACTTAAGCAAGCCTTGCTGGACAGAAAGTTTGTGAACTCGATTTCTGACTCAAGTTTGTTCATCTACAAGGATAATTTTCAAGTTTTGTATGTCCTTATTTATGTGGATGACATACCTGTTACTAGTTCAAACACATCATCAATTCAACAACTTATTGAAGGATTGAATCACTAGTTTGCGTTAAAAAGTCTTGGATCAGTTTCTTATTTCTTGGGATTGGAAGCAACGAGAAATTCAGAAAGGCTTCACCTAAAACAAACTAAATATATCACTGATCTTCTTGTTAAAACAAAAAAGCAGAATGCTTATTCTTGTTCGACATCTATGGCTGTTGGAAACAAGTTGTTTATAAGTGACAGTGAGTTATTTTCGGATCCTAGTCTCTATAAAAGCACTATCGGAGCTTTACAATATTTGACTTTAACTCGGTCAGACATGAGCTTTACGGTAAATAAGCTTAGTCAATATCTTCAAGCACCTTTTGAACTTCAGTGGCAGGCATGTAAAAGAGTGCTAAGATACATCAAAGGCACTCAGTTTCATGGGTTACAATTCAGACCAACCGCTTATATAAGTATAGAGTGTTATGCCGATGCTGATTGGGAAAGTAACTTAGATGACCAGAGATCCACAAGTGGGTACTGTGTTTTCTTAGGTCCCAACCTGATTCAATGGAGTTCTCTGAAGCAAAAAGTGGTGGTGTTATCCTCAACAGAAGCTGAGTATAGACCACTTGCACACACAGCTATTGAACTGGCTTGGCTGGACAGCCTGTTTTCTGAGTTAGGAGTTGTCTTGAGCTCTTCACTAGTAATCTAGTGTGATAACATCAATGCTAGAGCATTGGCAACCAATCCTGTATTTCATGCACGCACAAAGCATATTGAGATTGTTGCTCACTACATAAGGGATCAAGTGCTAACTAAGAAACTTTCGGTGCAATATGTGCCTTCAAAACTTCAGATTGCTGATATTTTAACCAAGCCACTATCTGCTGCTCAGTTTTAAGAATTGAAAACAAAATTAAATGTGGCAGAGATAAATATGGTCAAATCAGTAGAAGAAAGAAAGAATTAACTGCAGTATGATAGGTTTTAGAGTTGGCAGTTCAGAAGTGTTTTGTTTAGAGTTGATTGATTGTTGAATGCAGAATTGTTTGCTGTTGAAGGGTTGTTTGATTGGTGAATGCAGAATTGTTTGTTTGCTGTTGAAGGGTTGATTGATTGTTGAATGCAGAATTGTTTGCTGATTGCATTTGCAGAATTGTTTGTTTTCTGTTGAATGGTTGATTGATTGGTGAATGCAGAATTGTTTGCTGGTTGGTGAAAGGTTGATTGATAATTAAATGCAGAATTGTTTGCTATTGCACTGCAGAATTGCAAAAATTGTTTGTTGTGCAAAATTGTAGAATTGTTTGTTTGCAGGATTGCAGGATTGCTGCTGTTGAAATGTTGAATTGTCTGCACAAATTGCAGAATTATTTGTTGTTGAAATGCAGAATTATCTGCACAAGAATTGCATACTTATTTGTTGTTGAAATGTAGAATCACCTGCAATAAGTGCAGAATTGGTTGCTGTGTTGTTGAAATGCAGAATTATCTGCACAAGAATTGCAGAATCATTTGTTGTTGAAATGCAAAATTATCTGTGCAAAGTGCATAATTGGTTGCTGTTGAAATGCAGAATTATCTGCACAAAGTGCAGAATTGGTTGTTGTGTTGTTGAAATGCAGAATTTTCTACACAAAGTGGAGAATTGGTTGCTGTTGAAATGCAGAATTGTTTGGAGAATTGCAGAATTTGCTTGGAAGAGCTAAGTTAGTTTAATCCAAGAATATTTGGTGGTTTACTACTGTCCATAATTCTTTACTATCCAAAATTGTTTAATCCAAGAATTCTTTGCTATCCAGAAATTGTTTTGCAAGTGGTTACTAATCAGAATTGTTTTGCAGCATTGCAAGAGCTGAGATTAATCCAAAAAAAAAAAAAAAAAAAAGATAGTAAGGTTTAAGGGGGAATGTTAGTCAAAGGTCATTTGTGTAATTTCAACTTTGCTTCAAAGTGGTGTCGTTTTGATTTGTTGTCACTGTTTGTCTTTACTAAAGCTCAGCTCAGCTCTGTTTCTCTTAGTATAAAAGAGAAGCTAATCCCCTGTACAGTTATTCAGTCGAATATACCAGACTTGCAAATTTTACAAAGTTTTCTTTTACTCTTTCTTTCGTCATCCTTTGAAACTTTCAAAATCAAATATGTCTCCTAGAACTTTTGCATTAGACATGCCTGTTAGATGAAATAGTACTTATTTAATGCTTGATTCATGTTTACCTTATGCAAATTTAATTAGTTATTTTGTAGCAAATAATAGAGGTCCTCATTATTTGGTAGAAAATGATTGGTATATAGTTAAATTATTTTATTTTTTTCTTAAATTTTTTTACCAATCCACTTTACAACTTTCTGGTGTATATTATCCTACTAGTCCATTGGTAATACATACAATTATAAAAAATTCATATTTATTTAGAAAAAACGAAAACAATGAAATTTTAGCGGGACCAATACACGCAATGGAATTAAAATTTAAAAAATATTGGAAACTCATTCATTTTCTTTATTGTTTAGGTGCTGTATTTGATCCTAGAATTAAAGTAGTAGGTTTAGAAAATGGTTTAGACACATTAACTGAAAATTTACAAAATGAAGCATATGCCAATCAACTAGGAGAGGTAAGAAAGTGTCTTGTAGAGGTATATTTGCAATATGAAAACAGGTATGGGAACCAGCAAAGAGGCGAAATACCCGGGGAAGTTGCATCAGAAGAAACAAATGAAGACTTCGACTCCTAGAGTGCACTTAATAGGCAAAAGAGGACCCAAACCCGAAGCACAACCTCCTCTTCAGAAGCACCAACAATGAATGTACTGTCCTCCATGCAGTTACAGAGTAATGAGCTTCACCAATATTTGGGACCCCCAAAGTGTTACTAGCAGATCCACAATAAAGAGCCAACTTTGATGTCTTAGAATATTAGAAAACCAGAAAATGTATTTTTCTGGTATTATCAAGACTTGCCTTGGATGTTTTCTCTGTTCCTAACTCAACCGTCTGATCCGAACAAACATTTAGTGCGAGTGGAAGAATTTTAAATGAAAGGACTAAACTTTCACAAAAAATGATTAAAGTCCTCACATGTCTTCGAGATTGGGAACGGTCACGCCATCAGGATCAATACAAGGTTGTTGATGATACTTTAATAGATTCATTTCAATTTTGTAATATAGATGATACGGATGAGAGAGGTCTTAGTCAACCCCCAAATTAGTTGTTTTGTAAATTGTAACTTGTAAATTAATTGTCAATTATTGCACTATTTTTTTCTTACCAAGTTTGTGTCCCATTGGGTTTTTCTTAGTAAGGTTTTTAACGAGGCAATAATTATTGCAATTTCTTATTTTATTTTTTAATAAATGAATAAATCTAATTTTTCTTATATTGCAATTTCATTGTATTAAAATTGAATTAATATTTGAAATGTTAACAAAAAAAAAAATTAATTTAACTGAATTATTGATATTTGAAAAGTTAACTAAAAACAATTACACAAAAGAAAAAAATAAAAAAAAATTATGGGCTAATCCGGCCCGCATCAAAACCCTTTGGGTTAGGGTTGGCGGGCTAGGCTGGGCCAGTCTTTTTGGCCAAGAGGCGGGCCTAACCCGACCCGCCCTTGTTGGCAGGCCGGGTTAGGCTCGGCCCGTCAATTCCTATAACCCGCCGTGAGTCAGGTCGGACGGGTTATTTTTCCACCTTTAATCATCATCATCAAAAAAACCAAGTTTGAACAACAATCAAACAAGGATAAACAAGGTATTTATAGGTCTACCTAAGTATATGAAACCTGATTCAAAACAAAGGAAACCTCAAAAAATATGTTGAGAACTTTCAAAAGTATATTCAAGCTTAAAATAAAATGCATTGGAGAAGATGAATATAAAGAAACTTGCGCACCAATGCAAGGAGACAGCCAGCCAACAAGTCCTTTTTGTGTTTAGCCATTTTGGGAAAGTTTTCACCAAACTTTCTATGGACACAATAAAGCAAAACAAATTTTCTAATCCACCTAATGAGCTAATTACAAGTGTACTAAGACTACTTACATATGTCTCAGATAAGAATAAAATCCTAACATCAAATGGAGATGCAACATGTGTAAAGGAAATAGTTGGGTGAGTGCCATCACACGGACACTTAATGTCATGACACTAGAAAAACATTGTGCATTAACAAAGTGATGTTACGACATCAAAACTCAATGTCACCACTCTGAATTCATAATTTGACAAAAATAGTACTTTTATATGGTAAAAGATATATGCCAAAGCTAGGATTATTAGCTGAATTTGCTCAATGATTTTGAAAAGAAAGAATACAAATTTGGATAGAGAAGAAGATAATATGATTAAAGTTGAAAAGGTGAAAAGGGAGAGACACAACTAGGTTAGATTAGGTTAATCAAAATAAGGTTACAATATTGTGACTTCATAAACTTTTAACTTAATTTTTTGACGTTATTGAGATGTACTGAGTTATCATTAAATATAGTTATGTTAAACTTCTCCTTTATCACTGTAAGATAAATAAAGACAGACAACTCAAGTAAACTGTCTAAACGTAAATTAAAATTCTAAGTTACTTTATCCTGACCCATCAAAATATAATCATACATAGGAGTAAATAAATGGGAATACTTAAAAAAATTTCTAAAAGGTATTCAATGATTTCTTCAAAAGGTAGAAAATATGCAAAAACAAAGACCCAAATTTTGGGGCTTGAACTGCCAACCAATGCTTTTTGGGTCAATCAAGCAAAGCCATGTGCTTTTGCTACCAAGTTTTACCAACATAGTGTCAATTCAACTTTAACTATGTTATTATTATTGTTCTTTCAATCTAAACCTTACACGTGTTTCAATCATAGCGGCTCTCTCTATATTCTTTTTCATGATTTTTTCAAAGTTAGCCTAATTCTTTTACTATAAATACCCTCTCCCTTTCATGCGTTCAAAATAACAAGAACTAAGCAAAGTACCCTTTGTTCTCAAGGTGTTATTGTGTGAAGAGAGAAGCAGACTTAGCATCTATTCATATTGTGATAATGGGGAGCAACAAGCAGAAGAAAGGCTTCTCTCTATTCAGCATGTTCAAACCCAAGAAGCCTGGAAGATCTTCTGCTGAGTCTGCACGGGAGGATAACACAGGAAGTGGAAGAAGGGTGTGGCCAAGTGATGAAGACAAAGGTTCTTGGGTTGCTGACCCTCGTATCAACAGGAAAGCTACGGATTTCATCACGAAAATCCGCAATAATTGCTTCGCTGAATATGAACTTCGTGCTGTTCAACCTGGAGCTGCAACTGGGAGAGCTTGAACATCATATCAGAAATAGCTAGTTTCATTTACTTATCAAGGTCTATATCAGTTAATTAATTTCTTGTATGTCTTTGTTATTTATTCTTAACTCTTGTAATCATGTTCATAGGTTGTGAATCACAATAATGAATTCCAGAAAAATATTAATTTATTCACATCTCTCTTGATCTTCCTCTTTGCGAATTGAATGGCGAAGTTACTTGAAATTGCAAGCAATTGATACATAATACTAAAGTTGAATGAACTTTCGCCCTTGTTATTGCAAGCCTACCTTCTCAATTTCATCGTTTCTTCGCTTCGAAGTTACTGTAAATTTCCAAGAATGATCCCCATGGTTTGGACTGCAGTATATTTCCAAGTATAAGCTGCAATGGTAAAGTTGAATGAATTTGAG